CCCCAAAACCCCAAAACCCCAAAACCCCAAAACCCCAAAACCCCAAAACCCCAGGTGACCAGCTTAATAAAAATAATATGGAGCCAAAGTATAACGTGAGCTTACCGAACATTCCTTCAATAGTAGACTCAATAGTCACTAAGAAAACACCGAAGAAGCAACACATTAGTAAAAGTAGGATGGAGTGCCTCAGGCAGATTGAGGGATCCCTCTCCGAGTGTTTTATTGAAAGAAGAGAGTCGAGGATAACTGATATCAAGCAGATCAATTTTCAACCGATTGATACCCAGCAAGGGCATTTGTAAGTGCAAAATAAGTTTTGAAGTTTCAGTAAAAATAGCTCTAAAAGAAATTTTTTGAACTTGGAAATGAGTTTGTAGCTTATAGAATAAAATTCTAAAGAAAAGGTGTATAATTACAATATATTTATGACTTCTTATGTGTCAATAGAAGTAGGAACTGATTTGACCAAAGACTTATTAAATCACAAGTTTGTTCAAATTTTAAGGAATTAGTCAAGGTATCGTGCATTTTTAAATATTAGGACATAAAGAGTTGCGAAAATATTGTTAAGATGCCAATGATTAGAAATGAAGATAAGCATCATTATATTCAAAACTTATCACCACTTCCAAGCTTCAAGAGCAGTTTTGATATTCTTTCATTACAAAAGAATAAGACCAGTAGAAAAATAAAGAACAAATAAGCAAGACAGATATCGAAAAGTTAGAAAAATCAAGTTCAACATCCCCAAATTACCCAAGACTACTCCTACATCATCTCCAATTCCTCCCACTCAAAATTCCTCAAAATCTTCCAAAAAGCCCTTATAATAAATGTAGTAGACCCCAATGACATTTTCACTCCCCAAAAGGTTTCTCCCAAGCGGAAAAAGCCCAAGGCGAAGCAGGCTCGGCCGCTTCGCTTTCGCTTCCTAGATCCAAGTTCTGGCCTGGGTGCAAGCACCAGGGATAACCTTGAGTTTAGGATAAAGCAGATGAGCAAGGCTCAGTACGGAGGCTTCTCTTCATACTCTTCTCCCTGTGCTAAGGCACAGAAGAAGCAATCAGACAGGAAGTACCTGAAGCTCAGCAAAGGCGGCATAGCCTCTCCTAAGCAGCCTGAGCTCCAGAAGGGCTCAAGCCTTCTTTGAAGCTCCATCCAAGCTTATTTATGAGATACAGCCTGAGGGTAGGTGAAATCAATATCCAATGGAGCTTATAAGGACACATCCAAGTGACATTGGAATAGTTTAGTTATATTTTGATTATAATTTCAGAAATTAAAGGATTTCAGGAGCTTTAATACGATATAATCCGTCTTGATAGGAGTCATAAGAATCAAAATAAACCCAAAATATCTGAACCAGTCAGAGCTAGTTTCAAACCCAACGAATGTGAGATGATTATAAGTTCTCCGAGGGACAATGATTTCAAGCGAGGCAACTATTATTACTAATCATTTATATAGCTATCGGAAGTATAAGTCCAAGTATGTGGGCTAAATATCATGTTATACCGTAAGGCACTCCAATCCAGTTTGCTTTATGCTATTTAGGTCAAAATTATCGACTCAAAAATACATCACAAAGCAAGAAAGGATGAAATTGAAACTTAAATAAAGCCCAACATGCAAAGAATTTGTCAGTGCAAGGGAAATCTAATAAGATTTTTCAGACAGAAGTTTCTAAGAAAAATAGAGCCATAAAACTTCCAGAAGAACTAGATATCCAGATCAGTGGTAAAGCTAGGAAATGTGTTGATAGAACCGGGAACCTACAATCAAGGGGTAGTGATGACTCTTATTCAGGTACAAGAACTTACAATATCTAACGGGAATATAGAGTTTGAAGAGAACCTCTCTTCTAAACCAGAACTTCCAAGTCATGTTTCCAAAGTTATAATAAAGCCAAAGCCAAAAGTTATAAGCTCTAAGTGGGCAAACCTCGATCTCAAAGGGCTCAATGACGCACAAGAATCTGACGAATGTAATATTTTTAGCCAGAAATGATTAACTCCTAGTCAAAGAATTATCATTTTTCATGAAGAATTTTGAAATCTTAACCTTTTGGTCTAGACTCAGAATGATTTGAAGATATGCCTCATCACTTAAGTGTTCTCAAGACGCCTTCACAAACAAGAAAAGATGAATAAGTTATAAGAATATTTCATATTGCTTTCAGACCTTTTATTATATCAATCTGGTTAAAGCATTACGGGGTTTTGGGGTTTTGGGGTTTTGGGGTTTTGGGG